AGTAACTAAAACAACATAATCAGGAAGATAAACGTTCCTCTGTTCATAGCTGGGGCGCTGAAGTAGCTGAAATACTTTGACCTCTTCAGTCCTTCAAAAAGCTTGTTGACATTTTGAAGGAGTCATGCTGTGCTACATCAACAAGTGATTGTGAAATATTAAAGAAGAATGTGTGACATTATTGGGACAGAGATTAACTTGTCAACTTACATTCCACAGTAAAATATGTCAAAAGTTGGAGGAGAATTCTCAGGGAAACCCATGCTATATGATGTTTTGTGGGTATCAGCCTACATTGTCAAAAATCTACTGAGCCCTCTGACAGCTGACACCATTCTGTAGCCCTGTAGATACAATACCTACATTGTACCGGCTTTGGCTAAACTGCAGTGGCTGTTAAGAGCTGATATGCAGCTTCACCTAATGCCATGGCTCGCTTTGTTGGTTGTTAGTGCTGTCCTGTTTGTGAGTGTGCCTGTGTGTATAGAAAACAGTGGAGAGTGTAGGAGAGGGGGTCGCTATTTACACACGTGTAACCAGTGGAGTGGTTACAAGAGCTTGTATCGGCACAAAAGATGAGGATATGTGACTAATGATGAAGAATGGGAGTCCGGTGGTTCGCGGGAAGTAATGGAGATGGCTGAAATGATGCTGGCATGAGGTGATGAAGTGGAAGCGTAGAGAGCATGTGTAGCTGGCAGACAGGTGGTGATCCTGAAGCACAGGAAAACACAGGTTAGTAACACAAGATAGCAAAACACTAGGAATAAACTGACTGTACGTTCCAATACCCATACTGTACCACCATACTATGTAGCATGTCAGAAAAAGACTTAGTATGTTCCAATACATAGTATGTCAAAAATATCAGGAGGTTCTTCTACATACAGTCCAATTTTGCAGTATGAAAGCCAGAATGCTTTTCTGGCCATTCTGACCCACAATCCTCTGTGCAGCAGACGATACGTCACGTTGACTGAGCTGCAAACAGATGACAGCTTGACCGCTCATTGACAGCTGTTTGACGGCTGTGAGAAGTCGCAATGACAGATGACAGAGCATTTAAGTAACTAATGACCAGTCAAATAGCAATAATATGAATATTAATTATTTAATTGAGCAAAATAATGATAAATATTACAAACAATAAAAGGTCATAACTATAAAGATAACAATGACAGACAACTGTAGATTAAACAGCAGAGCTTTCTGGGTTGATGTCCGTCTCTGGTGAACCCGTGAGCGATGTTTGTTTTATCTCTAAGGTAACGGATATAAAAGCAAGAGGTTAAAAGTTCAGGGAGTAATGTTATGAGTAAGTGGTATATCGCAATTGTGTGCATACTGCATGCAACAGTACATACTTTTTAAGGGCAGCTGAAGTATCTACTAGAAGTACAAAGAAAAATTATGCAATTTGGAACGCACCCAGAATCAGCCTTGATGCGTGGCTACCACAAAGGTTTAACAGCAGTCTGGCGAAGAGTGGTTGGAGAGCTTAGGATGTCCTGCACCTAAGCTGATAGCAGACAGGTGAGTGATGAGCAGAGCTGGGAGCCAAGCACATGCCAGCACACAGACAAAACAGAACAGAGAAAGAACAAAAAAGGGGAACAGAGAGAACGAATGGAGAGGGGAAATACTAGGGAAAATACACAAGTGACGTCCACAGTAACATGTCAGAGTGTCTGCGGTGAAAAAGGCCTGTTGCTTCCATCATTACCTGGGTTAATGTGCTGCTTCTGATGTCATGAGTTGTCTCTTGTGACAAGCTTGGTGCAGTCTGTTTCCTACCTTTGGGTGGGGCCCTAGGTGGCTGCCTATGTCACCTATAGGAAGCTCCACCACTGTAGACAGTAACAAGGGTGCCTAGGGCGCAGTGACCTAGGTCCAGCACTGCATGACTAGAAGCTCTGACCCATGAAGTAACGTCCAACACCTATGAATACCTGGGAATCACACACACCGACCAGCCCATTCTCGATTAGATTATTTTGCCAATTTGACTTGACAGCATTACATCAACTGATGCTTGTAAATGTCAGTAATTGAGAATAAATACAAGTACCTCAAATATATATTTTGTATTACTAAGGACATTTTTCTAAATGTCTTCTGCTTGCAGAACCTTTCCTGTGGCAGTGTCTTTTGAAGTACAGTATACTGTAAACTTCATGGCAGTGAAATGACATTTCATTTACCTTTATCATATTTTAACTGTTTTTATTGCATTTTTCAGGTAATCTGTACAAAAGTAACATAGCACATGGGCAAACAGTTATAAAAAGAACAAGTAGGTGAGGTAAGGTAAGACATAAATAACTAAAAACAAATCAATGATAAGATCAATAAAACAGTAAAATGAATAAGAGAAAATTGACTGAAATAAATTAAATAAGAATTTGGATAAATAAATAAGTAGATAACTGAATATAAAGTAATTCAAGGGGATGGGGGGGGGGAGGGGTTGAGGGCCTTATTCAGTCAACCTGGCACATTGAAGGTTGTTAAAGTAGTCAAGGAAGGGCTGCCATGCCTTGTAATATTTTTTCATAGAGCCCTGACTGTGATATCTCAGCTCTTCTAGCTTTAGGTGTGTTGTCACCTCTCTGACCCAACGGGCATGTGAAGGTGGAGCCCTGTCCTTCCACTTCAGGAGAATTAGTCGATGGGCCAGAGGGGACGCAAAAGCCATGAAGTTTGAATGGGTGCTTGAAGGGGTCAAGCCTTCTGGAGCTAAACCAAACACAGCCGTTACAGGGTTCGGTGACATATTACGACTGTACCTCTGTGAAAGAGTTTCAAATATCGATGACCAAAATGGGGCAATCGAATGACAGGAGAAAAACATGTTGTATAGTGTAGCTCAGGGTACAGTCTGGAGAGTCTGCTTCTGCAGAGTTGTACAGTTGCAATCAAAATTATTCAACCCCCATTGCATATTAGGCTTATTGGCAAAATGTACAATTTTTCAGCTGTTTGCAATAAACAAAGTAGACAAGAACAGTTGAAATAGTTTAATAAAACTAATATCACCATGGTTTTTATCCAAATTCAACACAAAATGCTACTTTTAATCACTACTGCAGTCTCAAAATTATTCAACCCCCTGTCTCAAGCACACCTGGTGCAACTAATCAAGGGCTTCATTAGTTCAGTTGTACTTGAGATAGAACACATAAATACCTCAACTGGCTAGGGGTTTGTTGAGAGTGACGTTTGATTGCATGTTAGAAATATGGCTAAGTCAAAAGAATTGTCCAAAAAGTTCAGAGAAGAAATCATTGCCTTGCACAAACAAGGAAAAGGATACAAAAAGATAGCAAAAGCTCTGAATGTTCCAAGAGATACAGTTGGAAGCATAGTTCGCAAGTTCAAAGTTAAAGGAACAGTGGCTACACTACCTGGACGTGGCAGAAAGAGGAAACTATCAGCGGCTGCCACCAGATTCCTGAGGAGGCAAGTGTTCAAAAACCCTCGAGTGACTGCAAAACACCTGCAGCAAGACTTGGTGGCAGCAGGCACTGAGGTTTCAGTTTGCACAATAAGGCGCATACTAAACACTGAAGGGCTCCATGCCCGGACTCCAAGACGTACACCACTACTGACCCAAAAGCACAAGAAAAAACCATATAAATAAGCCACAGAAGTTTTGGAATTCTGTTCTGTGGAGTGATGAAACAAAACTGGAACTTTTCGGGCCTATAGAACAGAGGTATGTCTGGACGAAGAAGAATGAAGCATATGCTGAAAAGAACACCCTGCCTACAGTGAAGCATGGCGGTGGCTCAGTGATGCTCTGGGGCTGCTTTGCTGCCTCTGGCACTGGAAACCTGCAGCGTGTGGAGGGCACGATGGATTCAGTCAAGTATCAGGAAATCTTAGGTAAAAACGTAGTGCCGTCTGTGAGGAAGCTGAAGCTTGGGCGTCATTGGACCTTCCAACAGGATAATGATCCAAAGCATACCTCAAAGTCCACCAAGGCTTGGTTTCAGAAGAAGAAATGGAAGATTCTAGAGTGGCCGTCACAGTCACCTGACTTGAACCCCATAGAAAATCTCTGGTGGGATTTGAAGAAAGTGGCTGCAAAACGCACACCCAAGAATATTACTGAACTGGAGGCCATTGCCCATGAGGAATGGGCTAAGATTCCTCAGGAACGCTGTCTGAAGCTGGTGTCTGGCTATGCATCACGTTTGCAGCAGGTCATAACAGCAAAAGGGTGTTCTACTAAGTACTGATGCTCGTCATGAAGGGGTTGAATAATTTTGAGACTGCAGTAGTCATTAAAAGTAGCATTTTGTGTTGAATTTGGATCAAAACCCTTGTAATATTAGTTTCATTGAACTACTTAAACAGTTCTTGTGTAATTTGTTTATTGCAAACAGCTGAGAAATTGTATATTTTGCCAATAAGCCTAATATGCAATGGGGGTTGAATAATTTTGATTGCAACTGTATATGATGGAACACTTTGGAGTATATGCTTCACACAAACTGGTGACTTATGTATTCTCTCACTTTTAGATTGCCAGGTCTTCTTGGCAAGCACCCTTCAGATGGTTAAGAGAGAGCTAGAGATATTCTGAATCATGTTATACAGCTTTGAAATAGCTGAGGCTAAGTCATCCATCCAACCCCTGCACGGAGCTGCTGGGAGGGAGGTAATGTGCTTCCGAGTAAGGTCTCCAACTTGTAGGTATCTAAAATAATGCGTCCTTGGGATGTCATGCTTTTTAACCAAACCGGTCAAAGGAAGAAAAAACACCATTATGGGAGAGGTCAGCAAAACATTTCAGGTCCTTTTGGAACCCCTCATTAACCTCTATGCTGTTTTTTACCTGATGGCCTAACGTGCTTATTTAAATAAAACTGTGGTTGTAATGTCTCACTGGTCATATCACATTTTTATGAAGCCCCCAAAATTGACAAAATGCAGTCAAAGATTATTAGACAAATAAAAAAAGGAGAAGAAAACATAAAGTAAAACAACATAAATTACATTTTTAACGATTTTATCAATTGAATGGTGGTAAAGGGAAAATAAACCTCATTAACAGTATTGTTTTTTGCCATATTCAGATATGTTTTGACTTGTCTAATATTCTTTTATGACACCTTTCCTCTCCAGGGCTCCATACACATTATTTTCTATTATGATCACAGTGTAAATCATACATATTTGGTCCTTTATTTTAGCCATTGTACTTGTTAGACCACACCCAACCTAACAGAGCACTTTATTGCAACATGGCAAGTAAGTCTAAAATGTAGACCAACGCCATTTATAAATATTGCTTCGTGAAGTTATGAAAACTCCCTAAATGTGAGCATTGTAAGTATGCCATATGTCAGGTGTGATGAATACTTTAACCATATTTTCCTTTTTCTTAGGTTTTAAAACAGCCTACTCTGGGCCACAGTGTGAATGCCGCCATCTTTATTTACCATCTTTATTAAAAAATCAAACCTGGCCCTTTAAATGACAGCTCCATCAGGGTAGTAAGTGCTGCTATGCAATGATGGGGCACTGTAAACAGCAGTTTTCTTGTGGTTGTCTAACACCTTCACAATGACAAAGGGTAGCAAAAGAGATACAATAATCATACAAGTGATGACAAAAATGAGCCAGAATCCCTCCACTGGTAATGCAGATATTGGGTGCAGCATATTACTCTCTCTATCATAAACACAGTTCAGGTTGCTCTTCAGTCTGTAGACCACTTTACACCTCTGTGTGTCCGTCTCTGTGTCTGTGACTTTGAACACCTCGTAGGGAGGAATCAGCACCTGACTGTTTAGTTTCAAGGCTGAGTAATGCGTTACATTAGCACCAAAACACGTGTGTACTTCAAAACACGAAGCGTTCCTTGTAAAGTTCCCCCCGTCAGATCCTAACATGAAGGTGCTGAAGCGAATCAGTTTGTCAGAGATGTTCAGATGTAGAAGGGTCTCTGTTCTGTAACTTGTGCTGAGACATGTCACCTGACTGTGCCTCAGAATCTGAACGGCTTCACTCAGGGAAAAATAAAGGGAGCGTGGCTTAAATATCTCCTTTGGTCGTTTTCCACGTCTGTCCTCAGTCTTGGCAGGTTGCAGCATAATATCTGTGTACATGTATATGGCTATGGAATGATCTTTCTCCATGTACTTGTGTGCGGGCTCTCTGGCTTTCTGCTCTGCGTTGCTCCACGCTTGACTGAAGTTTGTTCTGGCGTCCCAGGTCTGCATTATGGCTGCATCAGTCACAACTCTGACTTTGGATCTGCAGTCGTCATTCAGGTCATAGGACACATCCTGGATACAATGTTGAAATGAGGAGAAAAGTGTTGTTCAGTATTTATCCAGTAGATGGAAATACAGACTAAATGAACAGTATTAGGCCAGAACTTCTTTAGCACAACCCTTAAAAACACTAGAGTTTTAAAAACTTTGGAGTTGTTTTAATAGTGCATGCTTAAAATGACAAAAGTATGACTGATAACTGGGAAATGATTTTATTTCATGTCAAATATGAAGTGTTAAATAATACTGTAAATGTTAAATACCTCTTCAATGACATCCTGCCAGCCGAGTGTCACATATGTGACAACAAATATCAGCAGTCCCACCAAAAGACCAAGGGATGTTACGGCACACACAAATAAAGTTTTTCTCTGACATGCTTGGCTCTCCCAGGAAGGCATAGTGCTTCTGAAACGGAGGAAAGCTGTTGATTAATGCTGCACAATGGTTCCCTATGAAATGTTTTTCATATTGTCTCTCATGCCGCTACAAGGCCTGGATAATGGCAATAATATATTGAGTTGCAGAGGTCAGACACCATAGGTGTGTGATGGCAAGGATAGCTGTAAACTGGTGAGTGAATTAACACTACAGTGTGAGTGTATGTGGGCCTCACTTTTTGCAGACTCCACATTTTATCACTAAGAGCTCACAAATAGGAAGGACTCAATAAAATGAATGAAAATGATGAGGCACCCTGAGATGCTGGAATTTTGCAGGATTTTGACTCTCCTGTTTGCAAGAGATGAATAAAAACCTGCGTTGCCTAATAAGTACTGGAACTGAGTGCCATACTGTAGAATTAGGGCTGTAAAAACAACATTAATTTTGATTAATTAATCACAGAAAAATACAAGGCATTAAAAAATTAACATTGATTTGTGATCTTTGACCCGGTGTGTCATTGAAGGCCACAGTGGCTTTGTCACATGATGGAGGCAGACGAGATGAAGCTGCTTGGCCACATGAATGGTGCATTTACATTGAAAAACAACCCAGATGGAACTGTTGATAGGAGCACCATTCTCTGCAGTTCCTGCAGGAATTTTCATACTATCATCAAGTCACACTCGATGAGGTGTTCAGATGCAAACTGAGTAAGTCTATCTGTGACTGACCGACTAACTTCCTTGCAAAATGGACTGCAAACCAGTTTTGGTGGTAGAGGACAGGAGGACAATTGTGTCCAAAATCCAGCAGCTTTACTGCGACACATCTGCCAAAATTCATTTGAACTGAATTTTTTTCAATACTTCAACAGCAAAAATTTATGTATGCTATTTATTCAGATGAATTAATCACAGAGCATGTAATTAATTAGGTTAATTCTTTTTTAATCGCTTGACAGCCCTTTGTAGAATATTGCATTTTATCAAAATATATCAAATAATTTAAGTTCAATTCACTCAAAGAAGTACTTCACCCCTGTACAGGTGGTCTTTTCATAAAACTGGGCTGTCTATGCAGGAGAAAGATGCAAGTACTTTTGATATTGGTGCCACATGAGCAGAGAAACAGAGGAAAAGCTCAAGAGGTAGAAAAATCTACAACTACCAGAATGCCCTGCAACACACTGGACCAATAAACACTCCCACTGGCGAGTTATGTAATGCGAGATTGGCCATTTCCCACAGGAAACAATATGACAGCTGACTGGAAACAAACAATCTTAACTTACAGTTTAATAGATAGCTAAAATATGTTTCTGAAGACAGGTAGAAAAATAGGCAGTACAGTAACAAAATCTTGATTTAGATTTAATCAGCGCTGCCTACTTTGAAAGGATTGTGACTGTCCCTGTAAAATCCATTGCTCTACTGTATACACTGTTAAATACAAACAAAGATGTGGCACAAGTTATTTGGTGCTTAACTATCTACTCTTCACTCCACTCTACAAAATTTATATTCAATTTATACATATATATTAAAAATATGCTACTTTTTTAACTCACCACATCCTGAACAGCACTATGTTGATGTTTTTGTCTTTTATGTGAGAAGACGAGCTGTCATTAGCCTTTTCCAGAATGAAAAATGTCTTCAGCTTTACATTGTGCTTTTCGTGTTTTGCAACCACATGACACACCTTTGTTTGTTTTAACCTGAGCAAGCCGCCAAACAGGATTTACCAGTGTTACCACACATGGAACCTCCCTCTGCCAGTGTAAGCAGTGAAATGAAAGAGTCAGTAGGGGGCAAAGGTCACATTTACACATGCATAGATAAGATCCATATTAGCTCCACTTCCTGAAAGCAAAGGTGCAGAAGAATGTCTGTGCCGTCCTACCTGTAAATCCTGTCAGCCGGAACTTCTTTGCTGGCAAACAACAAAGCACCTGCACACTCATAAAGGAATACCATGCTGCTGATGGAAGCACTTGGCGGGGAAAAGGTAAGCCAATAACATGCAGACGTCATAAGCTGTTGGTGGAGAATATGAGGATGGTTATTGATGGATCAGTCTGTGAGCAAATATTGTGTGGGCTCTGATTATGGTTTAATGCTTGTCTTGTATGTCAGGCACTAGGCTGGTACTATTTTACTTGCAGATTTCAGCATAAAAACTGAATCAGTCACTGCACCTGCAAATACAATAATAATTTGAAGTCTGATGCATATTAATGCAGTTTCTCATAGAGGTGGCTAGATGGGGTCACTGAAAATTAAAACTCGTAACTGAAATTCAGGAATTCGATTATGCTGTTGAAGTATATAGGCTAGCTGCAAAAGATGTGTCAATATGAAGAGTTAAGGAATCACATACTGAAATACCTTGGTTGCTTATTTCCTGGTAATATTACTTATTATTATTTGATGATGCATAGATCCATACCAGTACAGTTTATATTTTGAGTTCCACAGTAATCCTGTAGGATATTCATTGTTTTCAAATCTTTCAAATAGGTGGGTTTTCCTTGAAAATATAAATATACAGCGTTAATTTGAAGGTAGTACACTGATTGTACAGTATGGTTAATTTATATCTTCACATATGAAAATAGATTGAATGTCACTGTCCTCATACTTCCATGTGTCCTTTATGTTGGCATAAATACAGCCAATAGATGGCGCTAGAGGGCAGGGTCAAGTTTCTGATAACAGCTAAAATGACTAAGGTGGAGGAGGTTGTAATAACAAATGGTTAGATACCTGAAAGAACTACCTGTAGCCATGGGAGAGAAGTTAATTTTCCATGATTTTTCATGATCCAGTAGTCTGGAATACACACTTGGAACATTACCGGGACAAAAATAGGATCTGCCAGGTATGTGGCATGTTTTGTGAAATATTTAATCCAAAAGACATATGAACATCTGAACGAGTCATAATGACGATCTGACTGTATATAATGCGTGGGAACTGCCCATTGGTCCAACAGCCCATTGTTCCGACCATATTAAACCCATTGTTCTGATGTCCTGTTGTTCCGAAATCATCATGATGTCCTGTGGTTAAGGTCTGGTTAGGTTTAGGCACAAAAACTACTTGGTTAGGGTCAGGAAAAGATCATGGTGTGGGTTAAAATGAAAAAGAAAGTGACAAACATATAAGCCATGAGCCTGCTCCGCCTCAAGCCTTTCCCAGCTGACCCAGAGCCAGTCGCGGCACACCATCAAGGCAGAAATACGCCCACCGGGAGCCGTTCAGCACTGCGGATCGTTGGACTAATGGGCTGTCGGACCAATGGGCTGTCGGACCAATGACGTGGACCCTAATGTATGACCATATTTTAACATAATAACATTACTCAGATTCCCAATGTGTTAAAACTTGAAAAACAATTTCTTTTTAATCACACAAACTCACTTGACGATCAACAGGCAACTGAATTAAAGGAAATAGCCTGTTAGCCAGTTAGCAGCCCTGTTAGCTAAGCTAGCACACTGTCATACAGTCTCTCTGAAATCCACAGCAAAAGTTCAATTTTTTGAATGTACTTGAGGCAAATTCTGGACCGAAATATTATGGAGGGGAGGAGTTTCGCAGGGACATTGTAAATCACGGAGATTCCCATAGGAATGAATGGACTTCCGGTTGCCTTGTCTCTGTACACATACAGTGGATACGAGGTGTTACAGGGAAGAAGCCCTCTCAAGTTTAGGGGAGACTTGTGGGTACCCATAAAACCTATTATCATTCAGATATCTAGAGGTCAGAGTTCAAGGTATCCATCCATCCATTTCCATCTGCTTATCCAGTGGGATGTGCGTAGAACACCTCTAATGGGAGGCACCCAGGAGAGATCCTAATAAGGTGCCAGAACCACCTCAACTGAGGCCTTTCAACATAAAGGAGCAGCGGCTCTACTCCGAGCTCCCTCTGGATGTCTGAGCTCCTAACCCTTTCTCCAAGGCTGAGCCCAGCCACCCCACGGAGGAAGCTCATTTCGACCGCTTGTATCCACAATCTCATTCTTTCGATCACTACCCAGAGCTCATGACCATAGGTGAGGGTTCAAGGTACTCCATTGAAAGTGGCAATGCCTGTTGTTCCCTTCGCTAAAATTTAGCCTAACTTGGGAAAGTTATTTAGCTTCCTTCCAATGGATGCCTTAGGTTGTCTAGTGAGACACCGCTACCTTCGCACTAGCTTAAAAAATAAGCACGCCACACCCTCTTAAAGACAATGATGTCAACCTGCAGTTATTTTTGACGGGTGGTTGGGGGGATTGGGGCGGTCTTGGTTGTGCCACTGTATTCATGATATTGAAAGTGTTAGAAAATATACATAGTATTTTCATTGGTTTAAAGATCATTTTTAAGCAAGAGGTTTTATGTTTTCATTCAGATATGAAGTTTGGCAAAGGAGCAGTGTGTGAGCTGAAGTCACTGAGAAACTGGGCGAGCCTTTGTGTGTTGTTGGCGGTGGCGCTCCTACTGTACCATGACCCATTTCTACTACTGTGGTGGCCTCAGAAACCTGCTGAGGTGGGATAACAGATCTTTTCTTCACATGCACCAAAAACATGCACAGTTTACCCGTTACTTTTGTCAGTAACTTTACAGTAAATATTCCATACCTTCTGTAAATTTTGCTCACTGTAGCTGTTTCCTATCTTCACTGCAGAAAACTAAGACTGATGCTTCACACCTGGACATGGCGACAGATTCCATTGATGACATGTATGACGGTTGCCGGTCTGAATCAGCCTCTGTGATCGACCTGTTTGGCGTGTTTGAGTGGCACTTCAATGGAAACTTCAGTAATGCCTGGGCTGCAGCTGAAAGCAGAGCAAAGAGACCTGTGCACGGGAACCTGAAAGAAGAGCACACTATAGTTATGTACATGTACACTGAGGTGAAAGACCTTCAACAAGATTTCAACCTTGCAGTGAAAACAGGGAGACACAATTACAGCACACACGGATTCAAATTCCACTATTTCTACTTCTACCTGACTGATGCCATTCAAATTCTGCATCGCAATCAGACATTGTGCAGAACCACCTATCACATGACGTGGAAACGGTTTGACCAGGATGTTGTCAACACAAACATGCGTTTTGGTGCTTTCACCTTGGCAGTTTCAAGCAAACAATCATTTGATCTTAATGGCAGTGTGTCTTGTTTTGAGATCTACTCATGCTTTGGTGCTGATATAACAGATTACTCTGCCACAAACCAAATAGGACAGGTGCTGATTCCTCCCTACGAGGTCTTCAAAGTTACAGACGTCCTGACAAATGACCCATGGTGCAGTGTTGTCTACAAGCTCGAGAGTACCAAAATACCAAGGGGAGATTTGAATTGTAAATTGCATGACAGGCAAATAAAAGCATATTTTGGAGCAGTTTTAAATCACTGGAACACTGGAAGTTATGGGATCATGACTGCATGCATCGCACTGTTGATTTTAATTTCTATAGTCCTTGTTAAACGAAGGCAGAAGCGTTTCGTGGCTGAAGTGTTCATTGCTCTGCTGGTGGTGGTGGTGATGATTCTGGTGATACTGAGAGTTAGTTTGATCAGAGATAGGTGAAGGTGGGAAACTATCTTGTGTTTGTTACCAGGAGAATTCATAAATTATATTTTTGAAAGTTTTGAGGAAATAAAATAAAAAAAATGTTGTACACTTCTCACTGTTTTTAATAGAAGACATCACATCACCCCAATCCTGGCTTCTTTTCAAGGGCTCCCTGTACATTTTAGGATTGATTTTATAATTATACCAATCATTTTTAAAGCATGTCTGGGTCTTGCCCCAAGCTATATGGTGGAAGTGTTGACCCCATATGATCCAGCTTGCAGCTGTACATCCTCCTTCTGGTAGTTCCAGAGTGGCGACTGAAATCTAAAGGTGAAAGTGCTTTAGCCATCAGGGCACCTTGGCTTTAGAACGACCTGCCTGAGGAGAAAAGTCTCGCAAATTCAGTGACCCTTTTAAATCACTCTTTAAAACCCATTTTTATAGACTTGCTTTGATATGATGGTGTCTTTTTATTCTCCTCATTTTTATGGTGTTCATCGCTTTTATTCTTTTTATTGTTTATTTTTGTTTTCATTGTTTATTTCTCATTGTCATCTGTCTGTGTGTTGTTTTTGCATTGTCTCTCTTGTCTAAATTTGACCTTATACTTGTCAAGCTTTGGTTCAGCATTACTGTTTAGCTTTTAACTGTTGTATTGCCTTTGAGGTATCTTGCTTCTGCTTTGATTTGTTTGTCAAAGCACTTTGTGGACTCTGTTTTTAAAGCTGTTGTGTGAAAACAGCTATGATTTTGATCATTAAATAATTTATTTATATTATTACTTTATTTAATATTATTATTATTATTATTATTATTATTATTATTGTTGTTGTATTTTATTATTATACTGTGCATAATAATTGCCAAATAACTCACAAGTTCTTTTTTCTTTGATCATTGACATCAAAATTAGACATTAGACATATTTAGTTGTGACTTTATGGTACCGGTAGAGGACAGAAAAACCCAAACCTTCCTTGATTGTTGTTGTTCCAGAGTTGGCTGTCCACAGTCTAAAACTATATTTTTTATTGGAATATTTTCTATCAGGACTGGAAAGCCAAGTCAGTCACGCATTTTAAAGAAAATGTCATCAATGAACAATATCTTTTTGCCAATTTTCCAGTTTGTGAAGGCCAAAGAGGTAGTTTGATTGAACACATCATACAGTAAACACCTAGGCTGTCTCTACAGGTATCTAGCACACTTTTGTACCTCAGTATTGTACAGCATGTGAAGTCCTTCAGTTGTCTCTTCACCATGTGTATTACCACCTACTAGTGTAGGTATATAAATAATGAATATAAAATAATCATGCTTGTGCTGACACCAAAATAGCCACATTTTCCACCTTTAAAAACATTAACTACACGCAGTGAGGTCAAGAAAACTGATACAGTAGGCTCGCTGAAATAAATACATAAAAAGAAATAAATAAAGAAAGCAATCAATAAATAAATAAGTAAAGTTATTAATCAATTAAAAAATACCCTGCATGCAAAGTCATTATTTCCATGAGACTGACTTTGATGTTTGTGGCAATTTAAGATTTGCTTACAGACATACATAAATTCTTGTCTTAGGCTTTGGTTTAAGGTACAGCTGCATAATTCCCAGATGCACAGATCCATATAATTCATTACAATTAAAGACGAAAGAGTTGAGCACAGTCCTCACAGGTCCCGCCCCTGATTGGAATGGCCTGCAGCTGGTGACAGACCAGCAGGAACTCAGCTCAGCAGATAACCCACTATTCACCAAAGCAGTGCAACAACATGTAAGAACTGAACTGTGGTAAGTGAAAAAAAAGTCTTCATTTCTTCCCTAGTGTTTGATCTTCGGTTGAGGATTCCACTTCAAGGCCCATTTCAATCAAATCAAAGTCTTAAATCTTTTTTTTTTTTTTTTTTACATTTAACATTAATCAGCAAGGTTAGATGAAGCTAGCAGATTCAAATAAGACAGCTGATGACTGAACAATGTATGCAGAAAATGACAAACAAACTGATCGACTGGTACTTTTACTGGTATTTTTGTGGGCAGGTTTCTGTGCTGGTGGAAGATGGCAGTTAGGACATTCTGGGCAGCAGTGCTGATGACATATGGAGTGTCCATGGGAATTGCAAAGGTAGTGTATCAGCTGGGTGTGTGAATACTAGCACCTGTGGGTGAGATACTTATTTTTTATTTTTGTGATATTTCAGACCTCTGCAGAACCTGGGTTAAAAGTTCCACTGGATTTGGCTCTAAACGCTGTTGATGATATGTACACTGGTTGCAAAGACAAGATGGAGTACAGAGTGAAGAAGGAGTACCTGGACAATGAGAAAAACAAAGACAAGAATTTCACCCTGGCCTGGGGCGAAGCAGAAAAATACTACAACAAAAAATGGCATAAAAAGGGAAAGCGACCTTCCACCTCCCTGGGAAAAGAACAGATCCTGGCTATTTATGTTTATACCCTCGACAAACCAAAAGTCTATCTTGATTTCAATGATGCAGTTCGAACCCAGAGATCTCAGTACAGGACCACATTTAGATATCACACTCTTCACTATTTCCTGACTGGCGCCCTCCAAACTCTCAACGCTCGCAAACCTGAAGAGGAAAGATGTCTCACTGGCTACCGCAGAGTCAACAGCTACTTTAGCCAAAATGTTCTCAACAAGGTGGTTCGCTTTGGCTCTTTTACCTCCAGCTCAATGGGTTGGTACCCCAGCGCTGAAAGATTTGGAGACAAGTCATGCTTTGAGATTTTCACATGCCTGGGGGCAGATGTGTCTCTGTACTCTAAGCTTGGAGAGGCAGAGAGAGAAGCCCTGATTCCACCGTATGAGGTCTTTAAAGTGACAAAGATTAAGAGGAGATCTGATCAGAAGAGTCTTCCATGTGAGGTGGTCTACAAAGTCAAAAGTACAGGAACAAGCCTTTCCAATTTGAATTGTGCTCTGTTCAAGCAGGCTCATACATTTAAAATATAATATGTGATGTTAACTGAACAGCACCAGATTAGCGATTTCGCATACTTAAAATTCATTTGGATGTTACTGAAATAAAGGCATGATGTCATTTGCACTAGTCTGTTGATAGACATGTAGAAAATGCCAGCATTTTTACATTTGAATGACAAACTATAAAAGCCAGACAGTCAGATGTGAAACAGTTAAGGACACTTCTTGAGATGTCTGTAACTATTACAATGCAGCTCTGTTCTGTTGTATCATCCATGTCATCTGGAATAACATGAATCGAATGAATGGAGAAAAAAAAAAAAAAAAGTCTTGCGAACCTTTTAAAAATGGAATAAAATACCTTTGTGTTTCAGAAATTGTGCCTCTTCATCTAAACATCTTTTGCATGCATAATTATAATTCACAGCAGTATGAACGCTGCTAGTAACAACGTAAAATGACTTTAAAGGGGAACTACGGTCATTTTCAAAATTCATTCATATTATTCCTATGGTCAAAGATAGATATACATAGGTGGACATGAACAGCTCTCTCCCAAACCCCATAACTAGTGTGTTAAATCTCAAAATTGTGATGTCATCCAGTATAAAGTCTGAAGCTGCTCCATAGATAATAGGCTTGTTCGACATGAACCGCGCATCGCCTGGAAAGTGGACAAGATCAGGTGGCTGCAGCAGGAGGCGGTGACAAAAAGATGCGGTCAAGTCGGACAGTTTCCAACAGCCTTCAGCCTGCACAGGAAGTCACAGAAACACACACATCCTGTCAGATCTGATGTTGATTATTAAAATATGGTCAGACTCGTACATCAGTCTGTTCTCAGTCTTCAATTGTTTTAATTATGACAGAGTAGCCTATTAAAATGCTTTATCTGTAATTTATGTTCATAGTTTATCCTCCATTTGACATGAATTCTCCTGTAAATCAGCATCATATCAGTTTGACCTGTCCCCTCAAATACACAGGCTGAATAAACAGTGCTTGACTATAAGGCTCATACTTTCAGAGGAAAAAAAATACAAGGCAACAGCTTTCATTAAAGATCAGTCAGATACAGTCAGGGCTTCACATCTGTACAGATGTTTATGTGGTTATGTTGCTATATATGTAATAATTAAAACAGTCCAATGTTAATACACAGGTGACTCTGTATAGTTTATGATGAATGTATTTAGTCTCTGATGATTAAACGTCACCATCAGTCACACAGCATGTTTTCTGTTCACACAATAAACCTTCGAATCAGACAAATAACATCTAAATCTCCGAAATTCAACAAAAATGAAAAGTTTATATAAAGCGTCATAATACATCGGGTGAGAGCCGGATGTTTCCCATCATGCCCTGGGTCTTGCAGTTGGTGGAGAGCAACTGCAGCACCTGGCTCTAAAAACTGTGGCTGCCTCGCTCTCGTGAGATTATCATTGCCCACTTTTGCATGATGTCAGCGCGAAGTCGGACGCAAAACTAACCAGCATGTATTGTGGGGTTGATTGCTATAAATGACACTGTACACTGTACGGTACATTTTCCATCTAAGACCTGAGAACATGACAATAGAGGCTACATAGTGTATCTGAAAGCAAAATCAGCATCAAACAAGTTGTCATTTTATGATTGTTTCCTGATTGTGTTGACTTTTGTGAACCCAGAATTCGACAGCACCAAATCCATAATCACTTCAATCACTTTGCAATGAAGATCAAACTTTTTTTTATTAGTGCAAGACAAAAGACAGAACACTGATATATAAAACGGGGTGCAGTGTGTATATTGTATGACATGCAAACTTGAAAACATCAATTGGAAAGATGTCTGACTGCACAGATACTTTAGCCAAGTTGTTCTCAACAGAGATTCTTACCTCCAGCTTGATGCATTAACACCACAGCACTGAACTGTCATGTGGTCTGACGTAGACGCCTAGCTGCTTGGAGAGATGTGGGGATTAGCCCTTATGTTCACTGGTGTAGTGGAGGGTATATGCAGGTATACAGGGTATACCCACCTCTCTCTCTGGCCATGTACAGTATACCCACCTATCAGCCGAAAAACTATTTCAATGTAGTGGAGTGTGCCCACTTCTCCTATACCTAGTAGTACACCCATCTCGTCAACTACCACTGCACAACTGCTTATGTTCCCTTTTATGGTCATGCTTGTCTTGCAAAACTGTCTCTTCCTTTTTATATGACACTAATATGTTGTCTTACTGTATCTCACACACCCAATGTTTAACTTCCTTAAATGCTTACTATAAGAGTATCCTACCTTGTCAGTCTGTGAAGACAGCAGAGACAGACTGCTGTACGCTCTCACATCGAAGAGTGTTTCTGACTCCAGAAGTTGCCAGCTGAGATTATCTAACAACAGTGTCTTCAGATTTCTACTTTGGTGGAAGATGGCAATGATGGCAGTCTGGGCAGCAGTGCTGATCACCTATGGATTCTCCACAGGAATGGTGATGGTAGGGTTTATGCTAGATGCTGACTTGCTTAAGTGTAACTGCTCTGCACTGACATTTGTAAGTAAGATGACCATAAAATGAGATGCTGTGTTCTTAAAACGTCTGTTATTTCTTTACAGACTAAACCTGGGCTAAATGGTTGTCTGCAACTGGACATGGCTCCAAACTCTGTTGATGACATGTACAACGGCTGCAAAGACAACATGAAGTTCAAGGTGCAGACTGAATACCTGCAGAATGAGAAAAACAGAGACAGAAACTTCAAACAGGCCTGGGATGAAGCAGAGAAATACGACACCCAAAAATGGAAGCGTAAAAAGGGGAAGCGACCTCCTAACTACCTGGGGAAAGAGCAGGCTGCGGCTATTTATGCCTATACCCTCGACAAGCCAAGCATCTATTCTGATTTCAACAATGCAGTTCGAACCCAGAGACCTGAGTACAGCACCACATTCAGGTATCACGCTCTTCACTTTTTCCTGACTGACGCCCTCCAAACTCTCAACACTCGCAAACCTCAAGCAGAACGATGTCTCACTGGCTACCGCAGAGTCAACAGCTACTTTAGCCAAAATGTTCTCAACAAGGTGGTTCGCTTTGGCTCTTTTACCTCCAGCTCAATGGGTTGGTACCCCAGCGCTGAAAGATTTGGAGACAAGTCATGCTTTGAGATTTTCACATGCCTGGGGGCAGATGTGTCTCTGTACTCTAAGCTCGGGGAGTCCGAGAGAGAAGTGCTGATTCCTCCTTATGAGGCCTTTAAAGTCACAAAGATTGAGAGGAGATCTGATCGGAGGGATCTTCCATGTGAGGTGGTGTATACACTAGAAAGTACCCGCACACCTCTTTCCAATTTGAATTGTGCTCTTTTCTGAAATAAGCAGTCTCTCATGCTGTAGTTGAATTAGAAATAGTAAATGGCTTTAAAGGTCCAGTATGTAGGACTTAGTAGCATCTAGCAGTGAGGTGGCAGAGTTGGAGCTTGTCCCATGTGCCAAGCTTGTAGAGGAACTAAGGTGGTCTACGCTTAAACGCAAATGGCCCTATCCAGAGTCGATGTTTTATTTGTCATTTCTGTGCTATTGTAGAGCAACATGGCAGACTTGGTGGTGGAGGACTCATTCTGTATATTGATAGACAAAGCTCAAAACACAAGGATTCTTATTTTCTGGTGATTATAAACTAATGAAAACACACATTTAAAGAGCTTTTAAGAGTCTGATGATGCATCTGATGTTGCTAGCTCTTCTACTTGCACATAATGTGATGGAAATGTGAAATATATATCAAATGTTGGTTGCTTTATTCAATATGGAAATTGTAACATTGTATTGAGTTGTATTGCCCATGTGCTTTTTTGCATAATCCTTCAATGTTATTGTATAAAACTGTGTTGAAAAACAATTAAAGACACATATGTTTCCCAAATTGTGTATATGCTAAATGTTTTTTGCTGTTTGAGTTTGATTCATTCACTACCATACCAAGTGTTTTATGGGCTCGTTTTGTCCTGGGTTTTACATCTCAGGCATACACTATACTGTTAGTGGAAGATGATTGGGCTGAATGCTGCCTGTTTGGAAGACTGCAGGCAGTACTCAGGGCTTAACAAAGTCCCCTCAGTTCCTCTTTAATTTGAGGAGAAGGTTTAAAGCCCCTTTCATTCACAGTCACTTCTGAAACTGAACATATGCCTTAAGCACTTGAATATATAGAGGTAAGGAAACTTACACAGAAAACTGCAATGATCTTTTTAACAATAAGTATCACTTTAGCAGAGAAAAAAACTTTACACATAACTATATGTGTAACTTGTGTGTCTGAAGCTATGTCAGTGATGTGTCCTCGCTTGACTTTTCTTTTTATGGTCACATTAAAATGTCTTCCTTGTAGTCTGACTCTGCTATGCTGTCTGATCTGCACGCCATGTGTGACTTCCCTTTATCATGGCAACTGCTTGCAATAAAAGCGTCATGTACTTTCGCAGTGACTGAATTAGAACGAGAAGGTCATTAACACATCAATGTCAGAACAATGTGAAAGTTCCAGATAAGTCAGAGATATAACAACTGCATGGAAGATGCCATTTAAAATCTGAACATTATTTTGAGAACATTTTAAGAACTCAGGGAAAAGAACAATTAAAAGTGTATGATATTTTGTTTCAGATTCTTCAAATGCACTTTCACACTTGCCTCCTCTGAATGTGCATGTGTGGAAATGTGGTTTACTTTTACCAGACAAAGAAATAGGCGTCATTGCCGTTTCACTTTGACTCACTAACCAATGGTAAAACCTCAAGCTCCATGTCTGATTTCAGAAACATCAGTGAGGACAAGTTGCAACTGCAGGCATGTTATCAGTCAAGCCAATTTACACAGAGCCATAGGCTGTTTTGTTAATTACAATGCCAATTAGCAGTTTCTGTCACTGTCCACGCAAGTAGTATACTATTAATGTTGTCAATGCAAACAACAGTCTGTTTAAAGGGAACAATCTTAAAATCTATCACAACCTAGACAAACTCTAACTGACTCTAATTGAGGGTTCAGCATTTTAAATGCCAAAGCAACAGAACTGAGGTCACAATTTTTGTAATATGGTACTAGCGATTGGTAGTTTGTTCCTTCTTCTATGCAATAAACAAATAAAATATGTAAACACAGAAGAGGGGTCAGAAAGTTCTGCTTCACAGGTAAAACTACTGTACATCTTAAAGGGAAATTTCTGTTTATTTCAACCTGTCTCCTATCATCCTAAATTTGTTTCAAGTGACTAGTGACATAAAAATAATAGTTAGCATGTTAGCCGTTAGCCTAGATACAGCCGGGGCGCATAGTAGCATCAGACCTGTTAAAATGTAAGTGAACGGGCATAATTCAAGTGCAA